TAAAATATGATGAAAGTAATTTATAATTAAAATATGAAGTGGGTGGGCGCTCATGATTAGACATTAAAAAACAAGACCGCGTGGGGTCTCTTTGATGAACGCAATGAGCTATGACTCCGTGAGTCTGCTTTGTTAGCGATAAATCCGAGATACGTGCTGAAGCCGGCGCAAAATGATAATAATAATAATAATAATAATAATAATAATAATAATATATATATATATATATATATATTGTTTTCCTTCTTCAAGGTCCAATTTGCAGACTAAATTTTTAGATAATACAGTAAAAGATAAGGAAACCTACAATCATAAAAACATCTATTGTGTATATTCATATAAAATTTAATAAAGTTTTATATTAATTATTGAGAGCATAACACAATTCTCTTTCTTTATTCAGGTTTAAAACTTATTGTAAAATATAAGCAGAGTTATAAGGGAACTTACAACTCCTTTCAAAAAAAAATTTGGGATATTTTTATCTCTTAACTTTTTTAATTTAATATTATAAGACAATTTAAATTGAATTACATTTTTAAATTAGTTAATTAACTATTTTTAAAATTAAATACTCTTCTCATGATAAGGTGTACTAATTAGAAAACATTAGTTACAATATTAATGGGGTTGGATTTAATAAAAGGGATTTGTCTCTCACAATATGTCAATCGAAAGTTTAAATTTTTATTAAGAAATGTGTTCATATTTAATACTCAACTGTATTTCACACATGATTGTTTTCAATAAAGAGATTATATGGAAGCAAAAAAAAAGAAAACATAAGTTACACCCTTAATTAAGGATATTTTTAAAAAAAATTAGTAATTACAATTTGAAAAATTCAAAAATATTTTATATTTTTTAACTAAGGATATTTTTAATCTTTTTGTTATCCTCTTTCATCATCTTCCATACCTAAATTAGGATATGGATGATAATTAAAGAGACAAAAGTAAAAGTCATTCAAGGTTTAAGTATAAATACAAAAAAAATGTAATCAATATATTAAAATATTGACTATATTATTAAATTTATCCTTAATCATCGTATTGGATAAATTAAAGTTATTGCATTAAATAAGGGTATTATAAGAAAAATTTTAATAAATATTGTTGAAAAAATTAATCTTTTAGTCCTTCAATTTTTAACTCACTTGTAACTCAATCTTTTAACTATAACTTGCTGTAACTTAGTTCCTTAACTATGACTTGTTGCAGTTCCTCAACTTTTATCTCACTTATAAGTCGATTCTTATTTTTAATTTTTTAAAAAATTCTTTATCAAATAAAAGAAATAAAAAAAATATTCATATTTTGCTCTAAAATACCCTCCTCTTGATCTTTGATGTGGTATATAAATTAACATAAAAATATAGAGCTAACAAGAGTTGAGGGATTGGATTAAAAGTGAGTCAAAAGTTGAGGGATTGAGTCATGGGTGAGTTATAGTTAAAGGATTAAGTTACAATGAGTCATAATTAAAGGACTGAGTTACAAGTAACTCAAAAGTTGGAGGATGAAAAGATTAATTTTTCTAGTATTGTTTTATATTTCTAAAAAGACATGTAAAATGAAATAAAATTACCCCACAAAGACTTATATTTTAAATGATGAGATTATTAAATATATTTCTATTTTTAACATCATATATTTATTTTTATTAATGAAAATCTTAAATTTTAAACTATTACACAAATAACATCATGAATTATAAACTTTTGAAATGTTTAAAAACTTTTCTTAACTTTTAAATCTTGACTACTTCAAACCTTATTATTAAACTAAAAAAATAGCTATTACTTTTTTAATTGTGAGGCCTAATTATATACTGATGTGGCAGTTGCTTTGGCCCAAAAAATAACGGCCATTTTTTTTTTAATTTAATGGTTGGATTTTAGATGCTCAGAATTTAAAAATTAAAAAAAAATTTAAAAGTTCAAAATTTAAGATGTTATTCATACAATATTTAGTGTCTAAAATGCTCATTGACCCTATTTATTTTAAAATTATTATTTTAGTAGTTAAAAAGTTAGAGAGAAAATAAAGAAAAAAAATATCTTATTCAAGGACCCATAAAACTTCAACTTGAACTTGTGTAATATTGAGGTGATCAGGATTGGATGAGTTGTAGGAAGAAAGTTGTGTTGGTTACGTGGGATGTAAGGCATTGGAAGGCTGTAAGGAGACATAAGAAATAAATGAAGAAGTAGGTTGAATGAATAAATTAAGGCCAATCATTTAATGTTCAATGACCAAACAAGAAAATCATTCAATAGCCTGAGAAAAATGATGTGGATCGATCATGCGAAGAATGAAGATGAATCTCTCCCAGTGGTCAACCTTGTATTTTTCTTGGAAGTTGGACTGACGTTGGTAAAATTTAATTTAAACTATCATTTGTGCTACTATTGTTTTTCGTTATGCCACCTCTGAGTTTATTTGTAAGAAATAATTTATAGTCAAATATATTTAATTTTAAGTTTTTTTTTATAAGTAGATCCGCAGGGCATACAAAAGACAAAATTTATATTAAAAAATGGATGAACCTTGTACTAAACAGTAACACATACATCTTGGCAAAAGGGTTAACACATACATAATTTTTTTCCCCCTCCTTTTAGTTAATCACATAATTTAGTTAGCCAAATAATTGTATTTTCACATGCTTATAAATCGTAATGAAATTTTTTATATTTTATGCAAATCAAAATAATTATTATTTCTTTCGTCTCAAATTATAGGACACTTTTAAAAAAATTTTTCTATTTTCAAATTAAAACATTTGAGTAGATTAAGATTTCATTAAACGTATCAATTTTAATATTATATTTTCTCTCTTTATAATTAATTTTTATTCATTTTCTTTTCAGTATATTAAATAATGAATATTTTTAAAAGTTTATATTTTTGTTTTGAAAAGATAAGGTTGTTAAATGTAGTTAATAAAGTTTATATTTATTGTCCTTTTCATTTTCCGTTTCATTTTTTGGGGTAATTACAACCGTGTCCATGTCATAATGAAGATAAACATTGATCGGCGTCCAAAAGAGAACAAATGACCAAGTTGTAGTTAACAATAATTATTTTTTTTTATCCAAAGTATTTTCATAACAGTTATAAGATTAATCTCTTAAAAAATTTAAATTTAAAATTTTTTTAAAAGTTATTTTTTCTCAAAATATGATTTTTCATATACACAAATTAAATATTAAAATGACACTTAAAGAGAACTATTTGTGTCATATCCATTTAATACCATGATTCATTTTGTATGGTTTTGAATTTCTCTAACATCTAAACGCTTTTCCAAGTTCCAACACACACTCTTAGGGTGACCCAAATGAAAGCGCACACATTATTAACATCTAAACTCAAGATGTTAAGGCAATAGTAGTTTCGCGATTGTTTCTACCATGAAAAAACTGGCAGTAATAAGAACAGCTAGTTGGCCCCACAAAAAACAACCATTCCTACTAATAATTCAATCCATGATATATATATATATATATATATATTCTTTCTGTCTAAAATTATAAGATAAATTTTGACATCATTTGATATCACAAAATATTAAACACTTTAACAAAAATAAAAGTTTATTAATTATATTTATTTTAATATTGTTCTTCCTTCCTTATTATATTTCCTAACAAAAATAAAATTTTATTAATTATATTTACTTTAATATCATCCTTCCTTCCTTATTACACTTCCCTTTCTATGTAATGTTTCAAAAATAAGATTATATTAAATAAAGAATATTTTTAAAAATGTATGTGTTTTTTTTAAAAAAAATTATAAAGTACTCCCTCCATTAAAAATATAAAATATTTTTAATTAAATCTCACCCCTCAATAAAGTAGTTATCTGCTTTCAAACTAACTCTATCTTTTTATATTTATCCCTATTAAACACTATACAATAACTATAAAGTGATTCACTTAATAAAGGCACTTTAAAAAAAAAGATAATGATTATAACTCAAAAAAACTAAAAATATCTTACATTTTTTAACATCTAACTTATCAAAAAATGACTTATATTTTTGAATGGAAGGAGTGTATTTAATGCACTTTATTATTATACATAATTTCATCTAAAAGTGTCTTCTAAACTGGCATTAATATCCCCTTTGGTATGATGGAATTGTGCTCTTGGAATTGGAAATGAAACTGAAATTTAAAAAAAAAAAAAGTTAGTTTGGTATGACTGAAATCAATTCCATATGAAATGTAATTCTATCAAATGGGTGGAATTGAATTCCATAAAAAATATTCAGATTTCAAATTCCACCTCATTAGTTTCAATCTTTACCCTTCCTCTCTCATTCGGTAACCTAAACGCTGGCAACCTCCTGTCAATAACCTCTAGCAACTTGAATGCCGACGACCTCTTGTCAACAACCTCCAGCAAACTGAACGCCACTAACAAAGACCCGGCTTCTACTCTATGTTGCCACGACATTCAATCGCGTACAAGGCTTCGCCGTACAATGTTGATGCGGCAACTCTCTTCCATCTCAAGTCGATAGTAATGAACGTGATTCATCAAGTTTACAAGGTCACAAGAGCGCAAGTTCTCATCACACACTGTGGCACCATGAACATACTTGAGCTGGATGGTGTTCTCATTGCAAGAGCTCCAAATTTTTATTTTTTGATATATATTGTTATTTCATTGGATGGAGATTTTGATATAGGTTGGAAAATTAATATTTAGGTTGAAGCAGAGTGTTTTTGGGTGAGGGCATTCTAGTATTTTTATATTTTAAATATTAATATTAAATAAAAATAATTTATCAATTCTATGAACATAGCAAACATATTTTTAAACCCCATTTCCACTTCTAATTCCATATCCATCTCCACTTCCATTTCCATCATACCAAATGAGACATAAGAGTGTATGTTATAATTATTATAATTACAAAGAGACTGTGTGACAAATAAGCCTACTAAAAAGCAAGCCTAACAATATGTCTGTTGCAGAACACTGAAATATTTCACAAGACAGCCATGAATCCAAACTTATTTCACTGAAAATTCATTACAATTTCAAGAGGAATGATCAAGCTAAAACTATTATACTTGTGTTACTTTACATACTTCTGACCTTTTATGAGACGTAATCAAGGTTGAATAGATGCAGCAAAACAATAAACATATTTGTAACGTAAAGCTTTTGTCTCCCATTTCCGCTCCCCAAAAACAAAATAAAATGTCCAAATTCATCCTTAATGAAACCACATATATGTACACACTATATTTCACATATACACAAGTGAGGTCATGGTTCATGGCTCTTCATCAGTAAGAGCTTCAAGAAACTGTCTTATTGTCAGCCGTTCATCCTTTGTCAGATCAGGATCATCACCCATCAACCTCTTCCTTAGGGAGGCATCAACACTGTCTGTATCGTCAATGACCTTTCCATGCACATAAGAGCAAGACATTCATGATTCAGAAGCAGTGCATGAACTTGTCATGCCTTGAAATGTATAGTGGAGATAAATTGTATTGCAGATTAACCCCCACTCTTTATAATTTCATAGACTAAACCAATCATGTCCAAACACGTAAGAAGTAAATCTCACTTAAAAACATACTACTATACTTACAGATATGTTTATGATTGGTTTTGGTCTATCAATTTTACCATGACCTCATGCACCACTTAACATATATATTATGACGCATTGTGTTTTATGCTCGAATGAAGTACCCATACACATCCCATCTTCCTTTTATAACAAGAGTTTCCAGGTTCCCAAAATATTTTGAAGTATGCAAAACCTAGAGGCACACCTCTAGTCTTGAAAAGATTATATTTAGCCTCCCTATTTTTAAGTTCTCACAAACCTTAACTTAGTCTTCTGATGATCTGTATAGAGTGCGGCATTAAATTAGGCTCTTCAGAGTTTACAAGGAGGAAAAATAACTTATAACCTCCATCAACAATTATAGTAAGATGAGAGCTTTCCAGATAAGTCTAGTCTAAACTAGAAAGTAAGTGCAGGTTTAGAAAACTTTAGAAGAGATGAATGTATGGAGAGAGAAAAACAGTAACTTCCAGCTTTGCTATGGATTCAAATATGTAAATAATAATAATAATAATAATAATAATAATAATAATAAAAAAGAAGTAAAAAGTTGTGTGCATCTCGGTTCTGGATCCATTAGTTAATTTTTCATTAGATAATTAAAATGTAAGACCTTACTTGCAGATAATTATTGACATGGCCATCTTTGTTGGGAGAGCTCACTAGTTCATACTGATTGCACGTCCATTCCCCATCAACAACGTACTTGTACTCGTAGTGTCCTACCTGGTAAATAGATCAACAGAGAACTTTGTCTTCAGTTTGATGAATAAAATACTTGTTTAAATTTGCCGCATTTCTGGAACTAGCAAATGCATTCCAACATTTGAATTTTAATCTGCCTATATACCTTCATAAAGCATCCTGAGTGTCTGAAGGGTTCAGAAATCGGCACTTTTTTCATTAGAGAATTACAGTTTCATAATTCTCCCTCAAACAAGAAAATAGCATCTAAATATGGAGGGGCAACAGTAACAGTAAATGAAACAGAACTTTTATTTTTTGTTAAAAAAAAAAATTGAAACAGCACTTGCAAGAACCTCAGTCATATGGTTCTTTCATGGTTAAAAGCAATACTGTGAAATGATGACTCAAGATTTAAGGCCTTCTAAGAAGATATTTAACAATAACAACAAGATCAAGCCTTATCCCATTAGGTGGGGTTAGTCCATGAAGATATTCATGACCGAAAATTACAAATTCCAAACACATTATTAATCTTGTTTTTTTTTTTTTTTGCTACTACTCAAAAAAAAAAATTGGACAGTTTGACAAGGTAGTTTCCTTTTTATTTTATTTTATTTTCTTTTTTTGTACATTTATTCTCTATCTAAACCACAAAGGTTATCCTTAAACGTGAAGTAATTTCATCAATATAGAGACCAAACTTTATATTCGAACTTTTTCAATTGATAAGTCGACTTACAGGTAATTCCCTCTTGAGAACCCACAAACCCTGTTTGTCATCATAATGCAGGGGCATTCTCTGAAGGAAAATCAGGATACGTCGAATGAGTAACAGTTAAGCATGATACTATATTAACTAAATGTTGAAGACATTAAAAAGGGCCAATAATACCAAGCGCTTCTAAGACAACAAAAATCGAAAATTGAGATATTTTGAATTTGAAATGACACTTCATTGTTCGTATCATCTGTGCCTTTGATCAGAACTCTCTGGCTCAACAAAGAAGATAGTGAGATGAAGCTTATGGCAACAGGGCTTTTCAGTCCAATATAATTTTCCATGTTATATAGTGCTATCAATTTTTTAATAAAGCATTTGAGATGTCTTTTGAATCTGAACAAGAAGGCAACCATCACCTGGCCCCATCCAATATCAAGTCCAGAAATTTCAACTGAAGAGCAATTGTTGCCTTCCCACGTCAATGTGACGAACTTTTTTCTGAAGCCTGTAAGCTTTGATACCATATGGCAAACAATGGTTAGTGAAATGATCCCAAAAAAAAAAACAAAAAAATTCTAGAACAAAAAATCTATTTGCATGTTTGACTAAGCAAGAAGATCAATAATGACAATTACAAAAAACAATATGCTTAAGCCCCAAGTTGCACTCTTATTGATGTAGCACGAGAGGAAGAGAAACAAATAAAATAACAATAAACACTCAAATTTCATAATCAATTCAATTAATTTACAATAATCAAGAAACAACAATTTTATTATACTCAAGATAGATTTATAGGTAACTGAATAAGAAAATATTAAACTTGCAAAAACATTAGAAGGGATAATTCATAATGCCACTATTGATAAATCATAATTAAAGCCTAAATTACATTACATTAATTATTAATGACAAATACATAAATCGCAAAGAAAATTACATCATCAAGTGATAAAATAAGCAAGAACATTACCATCTCATCTATATCACCAGTCCTCATGCAATGCAAAAACTTGGGTTCTGATAAAGCAATTTATTTGAGGGATGTGAGAAAGCGGTCAAGCTATACAACAAATTTCTTATTATTCTTTTGCATCAATAACCTTAACTAGGTCCCCTGTCATATGTGTAGAATGCTTCGGAAATTCAAGAAACATGTTCATCTATTCTTACACACTCACATTGTTTGGCAGTTTTGCAATACTCACTCTAACATTTTTTACGCATTGTTTGCCAACAGAGAATATAGAATTTTCTTCATATTATTTTTGAATGATTGGAAGAGAAAAAGGGAGCGCAAGGTTTTGTTATGCATGCCTTCCATTGGCATTTTTTCTCCCCACAGCTAGTACAGGCACCGTAAGTTAGCTTCTTTATTGGATTCATCCAATAATTTCCTAGGCAAATTCTCTCTAAGATTTTGAGGGACTAGAGAGCTCCTTTGATGCCACAGTTTTTTTCTTCTTTGAAGTTTGCTTACCTTTAAACCTTTAGATAATTTTCACCATAAATAAATAATAACAGAGCTTTCAAGTAGAGGAAAAAGAGACATTGGGATGTTAACAATTAAATAAAATATATAAATTAAAGCAAACGCTACAGTTCAAGAATTGTGAACAACCAGACATATAAGAACAGAAAAGCAAATTGACTCACAATATCAGCTGTTGCACTTTTTATCGCATCCAACTTTGGGAAGCATGGTCTTTTGCTCTACAAGGAAAAAATGTTCAAGATAAATTTATATACTGCTGTCAGATTTCCTTTTTTTTCTTTTAACCAAATGCATGTAAAACTGAATCAGAATAATTAACCATTAAATTGCCTGGATAAAGTTCACTAAAATGTACTGATGCATTACCAGAAATAAGAAACTCAGGAAAGTATATTATTAACAAAGATGCCAGTCAAACATATGAGAGGAAATTGATGTATTACTTAGCTGATTGAACTGGCAAGCTCCCCAACTCAACCATCTACTAGCTAGACATATCTTGCATTTCATCCTAATTGTGTCTCAACAATGCCCATGAATTACTCCCCAATCATCATGCATAGAAATTACGATTTGTATAAATTTTTAGACATAGGGATATAATAGGACAAATAGAATTAAGAAGTCCTGAATGGAAACAATCACGTGCAGGGACTTCTTTAAGTTCTACAAACTTCTAATAAAAGCCAAAAGAAGAAAGAAAGATAAAAAAAATGCGATACTTCATCTCAATCCAAAGCATCAGAAATACTGGAAAGTTAAACCCATGCAACATATCCTCTACCAAGAACCCCATACGCTTTTAAAACTTTAAAAATAGAAAGGATTCAGTGAAGTCACCAGGAGCAATCTATAAGCCTCATCAAGTTTATATCCCTGAACCCAAAACATATAAGCCAACTGAAAATACAAGAACAATTGTTAGTAAATGACTGTTGGAAGGATCATGAATATATCACTTACTGGTAAGGTGACAAATAAACAAAACACAATTCATGTTTTCAAGCCAAAATACTTGGTAGAAACACCTCAGTAATTTTTTGTCCCCCTTAAATATTCCTAACTCTACAATAATCATTTACACTCATTGTACAAGGAACTCTCACCAGTAAAAAGAACTTCCTTATTCCTCTATGCCTCAAGCCCTCAACAGATGAATGCTTTATAAACTTTGCAAGGTGGCTTCGCATTAAACAATTAATTTAAGAGACATGCATATAGTTGGAATGAATAGTAAGAAGGGAAGTAAGCTTCAAAGCCAAAAATAGTCTTGTGTGAAATAATTCTACAGCGCATATGTGAAGCACAAATCAAATTAACAATTCAACTTGCAATCCAAAAAATATCAGTTCAGAAGTTCAGAAATTAAACCCAGGGACATACCGCAACAGCTGGAGCTCTCCCAAGTCCAGCTGTGCAATGTATATATGTCACACCCCCATTGCAATTTATGGCCTTGTACAATTTGCTAACTACAGTTGAAAGCCTCATCCTCAAGTCAAATGCATCAAAGTCCCTACAATGTCAAAGTTAGACCACCATATGATGGGAAGAAATCCATGTGAAGAGGAAAGAACATGAATAATGCAGCAGATATTAGTATTTAGTTAACATATACAAGAACAAACTGAAATGCCAGTCATCACACAAACTGTATAATATATGGTAAAGAGGACCACGTTTTACTCAAAGTTAACAGGAAATCAGGAAATATATAATGCAAGATGAATGGCAACTAGTCTAACACGGAAATCCTCAATGAACTATCCAAATCCCATGACATTTTGGTGCATTTATATCCTAAATATTTGAAACAGCAAATTGCACATATATAACAATAAACTCCAAGTACTTTTTTTCCGTCTATGAAATTTAAGAAATATTTGGTGCAAGGTATAGAGCTATAAAACTACTATCTGTCTGAAGGAAAATATAATTGCTGAGCTTAGTTTAACTATGAATTAAAGCATGGAATCTCAAAATTTATTCACAATATATAGGTTTATAAATAAACAATCAACAACGATTTGCTATCCTTGTATTCGAATTATTATCTCACATGCAAATATACATGGTGAATCTTAATAGCAGGCAGCAAACCAGAATCTTACAATCAAAATTGCTCCATTTTGTGAGCATTTATATTTTGTGATCATAAATCATTTCTATAACCTTTGACAAACATAAAATAATGTGGTACAGGTAAATTTCATACAAAATAGTTCCCAAACAAAGTAAATTCATTTCACAGCAGAAGAAGAACAGTAAGGCAGAATATGGGGCAGACAAAATTGAATGAACAGAACTTATGTGAACAAGTTTAACAAATATAACAATGATTAACCCTAGCAACTGAAACACTAATGCACAAAGACAACATAATGAGGTGGGAATTTGCTCCAAATTGATTCCTTAAATTTCAGTTTTTTAATGAAACTCAATGTGTCACAAGAAGCAACAATCATTTTCGGAAATAATAAAGTGACAAATTTTTGTGCAGCAATCCTTCTGAAATATTTTTTTTCTTTTCTGGTAAAAGGGAAATCATCACATTCAACATGACCTCAATAATAATATTTTCAGGCCAACCTATTTAAATTTGTAATGAATTGCTGCTTGATGAAAATATAACACTATTTTGCCCTGACAAACCTTATCTCAGCCCGCAAGTGTTGAATGTCATTGCAAGACCTGGCATATTCTCGAATGGCAGTGATATCAACTCCAAAGTATCTAAAGTAGTGTTAAAGAAAAAGTTTTGCTGGATCACATAAGTGGTAGTTGTCACAAAGGTTCAAATTGTATATTAAAATAACCATAAGCTCAAAGGGAACTTTATTAAACAAATCGTCAAGGATACTCTAGGTCAGGGTCTTGTTGCAAGCAAAATATAGTTTTCACTCCTATTGCACGAAGTTTGTCAACGTCTTCAGGAGTCTAGCAATTTGTGGATAAAATTAATTGTCAAAGGACCAAAACGAGATTTAATATAATATAATTGCAGCAGTTTGCCATCATTGAGACAAAAAAAACACCTGCAAGCATGATCCCACTATTAAGTCTGGACGAATGAAGTTGTAGTTCATCCCCAATTCGTGCCTATAAGTTAAAACTGTAAAGGACCCAATATCAAAAATCTAAAAACACAGATTCAAAGAATGCAAGAATAGGATGACCATGAGCATCATTTTAAATCCTTCAATTAACCCAAACTAATAGATGAATATGAAGATAGTATAGACTGCTAGAACTGATCATAAATTGTAACACACAAAGCTAAGGCTTGTAGCAATCATGTGACAACAGAATTAAACCTACCAGCACCCATAGCTTCAGTCATATTTTGACTATATGCCTCGGATTTCTCCTCTTCTTTCACATTAGCACTATTTGTCCCTGCACTGGACATGGAACCAGAAGCACACTGCAAAAAGAAAATCCAATCACATTTTCCAGGAAAGACAATAAACATGAAGCAGATAGCAACCAGAAGATAACAGATAATATCATATATGAAAACATCCCAAAATATCAAACTCAACTCACAGTAAATATCGAGAATAGCAAGGCCCAGAAGTAACATATGCTGTTTCTCTGTACTAGTTTTGATAACTTCTGTTAAACTATGACTATTTATTTACACTTGTGTCACTTCCACTTGGCACCAAAATGTCAAAATGTGTAATAACTATTATAAATTAAGTAGCACCTTTAATTCATTGGTTGGCAGATTTTAGAATATGCCATGACCATTTGTACGCTGTCTTATTATTGGTTCTCACAATGTACTCAGCCAGAAATTCTGCACTACCATAGTTCTATTGAGCCACTGAACATTATTCAAAAGGTTTTTACATCAATTACAAACATGACCATACAATGATTGAATACCAACAAAAATGGTGATAACACAGAACAATAAGATAATGATCTCAAAATGAAAGGGGATGAATGAATAAAATTAGAAACATAATCGTCAAGAAAGTACACAAGAACCCAATAAAAAGGAAAACGACATGAAAAACTGACAACGCAGGATATTACACTCACCTTCACTGCCATGCTTCGATTTGGATCACAAGTATTGGACATTCTCTGTACGAACCGGCAGAAATGGTGAATATTGCATACCCATAAAGAGAGAGAATATATTCTGAAGCACAGAGTGTCACAGGCACGAAGTTAAGTATATACCAAGGATTTGGCAGAGCAAAGAGGCATCCTCTGGTGGCTTCTAAAGCATTGGAAAGGCAAAACCGAGGATCTGAAATTGGAAAGCGGAATCAAACAGGAAATTACAGCTCAAATTCAATATTTATACGTGTACGCTACGCTAAAAGAAAATCGTAAAGGACGCACAAGGGAAGCTGCCAAAGACAGTTCATAATTGAGAGAAGGGAAATTCGCAGTCAGTGCAGAGGATAAGTAGAAGCTTTATTTTTTGGTCTGAAACCTCAAGCTTCTCTGCGTGCAGATATTTTTCTGATAGTTCACTGATTGAGACAGAAACAAGAGAGGAGGAAAAGAGAATAGCCTTTGGCAAGATTCTCCTCTTCAAGTATGCTATGCGCCATTGCGTGTATATGTTTTTTAATGGGAAAAAAAAACACACACGTTTTATTTATTTATTTATTTATCAACGTTTTATTTTTTTTAATTTCATAGAAAGCATCAAGTTCGGTCTCTTTGTAAAGACAAAAGACTCAATCGCCTGTTTACTTTTTCTTTTCCTATCACTCTCTGCTTCATTTCAATTTGTAAAACTTCTTACCATTAATATTATCATTTGACATCTTTACCAAAAAAAAATATATCTTATCCAAAAAAAAGAAAGTATCAAGGATTAAAGTAATTTAAATAAAACCAACAATAATTAGGACTCAATTTCTCTTAAATAATGTACATATGATAAATACATAAAAAAAATAATTTGCACGAATTTGTTGCAAATATATTCCTTCAGTTTAATTGTAAGACATTTTTATGACTAAGCTTCATCTAAAATGTAAAATATGTAGTATTTTTTAAATTATTTTTAAAATTTAGCTTTATATTAATTAATGTGAATATGAGAATTCTAATCTGACTAAGCATTTCTTTTTCACTCTTCATAATACTAAAAAGGAAAAGACATGTCATTTTCTTTATAGCAGCAAGAAAATAGCTACTTTTATTCATACATGAAATCCAAGAGATTTTGGTTTGAAACCTAGAAGTGAGTGGACCCACAAGGAGTTGATAAAGGTATAGTTATCTCTAGGTCCAATAAATAATGGTAAATAAGATGATTGTAGGGGTCCAATGGTCAAATTAGATTTAAGTAATGCTAAGGACATAGTCAAAATACAAGTTCCGTACAATCTCATCTTCACCACAGTTAAGATTTAAGAACTATCTGACATGGCTAATAGTAACAGGATTGGTGGTGGATCATGTCCAAAACCTCTACTTTTTTTTTATAATAAATCAGATTCTGATAATGTGTATTACATGGACCTGAGTCTAGACGTCGCATGATCAGATTTTGAGGATGTATGGTTTTTAATTTACAGTAGTTTGCTAACAATAAAGGTGTGAAAAGGAAGAAATTTTTGCATCTTCTAAATACCAATTTGGATGCCAAAATACTCTCGAGCTGCCGCGCATTTGTGGATCGCTCTGTTGACTTTTCTCTGTGATTTCTCCTATTCTCCTAATTGGGTTTCCAAGTAAGGAGGGAGTTTTCTTTATTATCATTATCATTATTTTGAGTAAGGGTGCTTGGGCATTTCATATCTCATATTTTATTTTATTCTTTTTAATTTATTGTTCGAGATATGATTAAATACTAAATGTAAATATTTTATATTTGTTTTCATTGCATCCCAAATAATAACTTAGGAAGCGACTTTGTGAATTTCGACCAATAATATGTTTTGATATGAGAATATACAAATTTGAACCCCTAGAACTTTATATACTCTCAATCAAAACAATGACTAAATTTCAGTGCTTCATTCCACTTTTATCATATGTCCTCGAAGGGACACAATAGGTTACATCATGCTTTTGAAGTGTTAGAAGATATTAGGAAAATGTTCATACAAGATTAAGAGATATTATATTATCATGTGTACAAAACAAATACTTGCATCGACCAGCTTACACAATATGCTCACAGTTCAAACCAACAATTAAGCGCAATTATGGAACCACCTGTAGGGTATATTGCTCTCATAGGCCTCGATCTTAGTCATGATCCTCGAGATACAAGTTAATTTCTCAAATTTTTCTATTTTGTTATTTAGACTTTTGCCTCCACTTGTAATCCAAAAAAAAAAAAAAATTCGGTGCTTCTCAAATAAGAAATGAGGCGTTGACCCCCCCCCCCCAAAAAAAAAAAAAAGGAAATGGGGCAAAACAGTATGCTCTGCTATCGCCCATCCGATCTTCACTGGAAAATTGAAAACGTCAAACAACTTTTAAGCTGAAAAAGCTTCTGATTGTGACACAGACATTGAACTCAACAACATTTTGGGAATTATTATATACAGCATAGAAGATCAATGTCTTCCAACAAAGACAAACCCACTTCCAGATTTAGTGGGTCAACAAGGCCTGTAAGAGCATAGAACATCCAATAACAGAATAAAGTTAAACAGTAATATATATATATATATATATATAAACATGAACTTCACTCGACCAATAAACTATCAGATAATGACGTGTGACAGGTTAAACTGCCTAAATCTGCAAGTCCTGGGAGGATGAATGCTGAGGGCCATTATACAGCTACGGATGCTACTTCGAAAGGCATTGAAGAATGAATAAATTAAGAGCATCCTCACATGTCTACTGGCCCAAAAGGACTAAAGCTATTTTGATCATCAGAGGACTGGGGATCTCCCAGGAATGGTTTAAACCTCGGTCTTGCCGGTTGATCTTTTCCAAGGGGAAAGTTCCAGAAGGAATCGGAGTTCTCAAAGAATATGTAAAACACAACAGCTGACGCTAAAAACAATCCTAGAAGCAGCAAGTAGATCTGCCACTCTGCATGGATAAAATAATTTCATGAAGATGTGTTTAGATGAAATAAGAGACATAGTAAGATTCACATAGAGACACACACAGGGGAGGGAGGGAGAACCTTTCCAATCTGCTGGAACATTTGGTTTTGTGACCAATGCTCCCCATTCTACAGAGGTTGTAAGCAAGACCCTACAGAGATACAACCAGTGTCAGGTGAGTAGACAAGAACCTAGAGAGAATGTAATATATAGATCTACATTTGTTATCATAGGCTGGGCTTATACTTAAAACACAATGATATCGTGCAATTTATGTAGCCAACCCCACTTAATCAAATAAGGCTAGTGGTTGTTATTTTTGCATGCTAAGCCTATATTAATATTAGGCTTATATCAAGTCTTGAGATATAGATTTCTTTAGGCACCATAAAATTGCAACTTCTTTTGACAGGTTAGAAAATGTGGTCAGTATAGAGTACCCCAAAAGTGATTTGCTGTTACAAATCACGTTCATCTTTTTGTAACCATATTTTTGAGGTGGCAGAGTGGGCTGGACCATCCCACCTAATAGCAGTTGCCGCATATTTTCCTTACCTTGTAGTCTTTTTGGTTTTGAGTTGCCCTGTTGGGGGAACATTGTAAAAAGGTTAAAAGGGTGTCATTCACTCATTAGACCCCACTATATCTATACTCCCCCATCAGATCACTGATTGGAGCGCACCCTAACTAATTAACATCCTTAACCCATTCCCAGCTAACTATTTATCCCCATATAACACCTATGTACAAGCTCTTTCCGTTGGTGGATTTTTTTTTTTTTCAATAAAAGTAAAAAGGTTTTCACTATCTATTAGGCATCTATAAATATTCCTTTCAAACACTTTACAATATTATAATGATTCTCACAACCCTAAACATTGTGTTCATGTTAATTAGAAAGAATAATTTAGGTTTCAAAATAAAGCAACTATCTATCCAGGGAGAACTTACCTCTCAGTGGGACAGAATTCAAGCGTTGCAATGTCTGTCCCCAGATGTAGTCTCTTAATATAATGCATAATCTCCATTTTCTTAACTTCTACTACACTTACATCTCCGTCTTTGCTTCCCCTAGAAATAAATAGTAACGAGTTCAAAAACTGTTAATGACGTCAATGACAAAGAGGAGCATGGCATTGCAAGCTGCTTGCGTATTAGATAGCATTTTATAAAATCAGATATTGTAGACTGGATCAGAGACAATTGCAATATCTAACAAAAAAAGTGACCAAGGGTTACTTCTTTTTTTTTTTTATAATAAAAGAATCTGTTGCGGAAGAAGACAAGTATATAACGGGAAGGGAAAAAAGTCCTCCTGAAAATATACAAACGAAACCAGTCAATTTAGTATACTTACAGTTATAATTCTTGTTATCGTTTTAAAAGCCAGAAAATTTTTTACTCTTCTGCAACCAATTTTCTCAACCAATACCACCAAGAAAAGAGGTATAAGACTGTAGTCACTGTTGTGACCCAGCTACTTAATGGAAAAAAAGAAATCAGAATTCAGATCCCACAGATTCTGTAACCCTAACTTATACTTGGTCAACATAGCGCTGATTGTTTGTTGAGACCATAATATTTATAATGACATACGACAACCTAAATCTTCATTATCTATGCTGTTCTAGTATAACTGTAACCAAAATGTCCAAACTCATGCTAGAAAAATTGAAAGGAAATAAACAAATACCCCAACTGTAAGTAAAGGACGGCTAGCATTTTAGCATGAAGGCTGAGAATACAAATGTAAAGCCACAATAGAAAAGCTGATTGAATTTGAGAAATATAAGAGACAGCGCATGGTATCAAAAGGAAATTTTATGCAAAGGGAAAGAAAATACAAACTAAAGAACGCAGCAATTAGTATAAAGAAAATGATTGCATAATTCTAGCCATGATTGAGATCACTTTATATGTGCAAAGACGTCTAAAGAGACTTAAAAGAATAAATCATCTTATAGTAAACCTAAACGAATTTCTATGTTCTAGATCAGAAAGAGTAAACTAACTAAGATGGCAAATCATGAGGGAGTCCATATTATTTCAATCTTTTTTCTTATTATCCATGATAGTTATGATAACAGGGCCAAGATCAAATTGACAGTTCTCCACAGAATTGATCTGAGGTTAACATTCCAAAAGCCATTAGTGGGTTCTTACAAAGCAAGATATTTCCCATCAAGGCTCATTGACATTATTGAAGCAACCTTGCGGAGCAGCCTCTTATGCCCAATTTTGTTCCATGTACTTATGTCCCAAACTCCAACAACAGCTTTATCACCTGTTCAAAGATACTTGTGCATCAATAAAGGTACTAATTTATTTCTCAAACAATGTTCTAAACATATTGTGAAATAATATACTGCAGAATTGAGAATACTCATATTGATATACCTTTCTGAACAGTGCAAAACAGAAAAGGTTTGGTCCCATCCTTAGAAAATCTACATAATTCAATCCTTTCATCCTACAAAGGGGGGGAAATCCATCCCCAGATAATTTTAAAAAAATGCACCAATATTGCTCCAATTTCTTAATTATTCCTTAAATAATAATCAAACACACTATACCGCATTACGAGACAAAGTTATCAAAGGAACACCATCTTCAACCTTCCAGATCCTAGCTGAACCATCAGTAGATGTTGAGACCAGAAATTCTGAATCTAGACTGAAGTATGACAGAAAACAAAGTACAAAAGATTTAGTATCCTAGCGATTCTAGTTGAACAAAGAAACAGGATCCAAAAGGACTTGGCTAATATAACCTGAAATCCATATCTCGAACAGATTTGTGTGCCCTTGGTTCATCCAAAATCACTCGCATTGTAGGCCACTCCCAAATTCTGAGGTGCCCATTCTGTATTGTTAAGTATACAAGTCAAACACACAGCACCATCATGTTAAAAGTGGGGAAAAAGGAGGTGCCACACATTCACAGATGATAAAACCAATTTTGTACACTGGCTTAATGCTTACCACTCCACCAGAAGCAAACCTAGATCCATCGACACTAAAAGTAATACATTTTTGAGGACCAACATCATGAAGGGGGGGAAGTGCTTTGGCCAATAGCTTTACACTTGTTTCACGACCAGACAACTCAAAAAATCTGCAAGCCAAGAAAATAAACTTCAATCCATATCTGTTTCATATCAAAAAGGAATGTGCACCAATAACTCAGGGCAAATATTAGCACACCAAATTTAAAATTCAACAACTATTCTGTCATCCCCTAGCTCCAAGGAAAGACAAGCAAGAAGCTGAGAACAAGTAATTTTCAAAGCCAATCCTGCAGGTGTAATAAGTTAACCAATACTTTATTATAGTAGTTTCTAATGAAGGTTTTAGATACTGTCCTTATTAAAATAATGGAATTACACTAAGGCAACATGAAGCTTCTTAAACTGTCTTAAAAATTTTCCAATTTATAAAGAAAGAAAAGAATTGCTTTGGCTCTTCAAATGAAATAAAGTAGGAATCAAAGTAACTCTTAATTTGCAAATCTCGCAGAAAGAAAAACCTTTGGACATGGCAAAAATACTTGGTTAATACTCAGCACCGGACCCAATTCAAGCAGAAGAACGTGAAAAAGAGACAGATAACCATATAACCAACGACGCACTCTTCAGAGGGAAATTGGCATAGCTGAACAAAGTATCGAATCCAAAGTTCTAGTAGCTAAAAGCTCACTTGCAGCTACCCTTGCTCAAAGAGCACACGATTTCATCTCCACTAGGGTGCACTGCAATAGCAACAGGATCACCTTCTTCTTCTTCAAGCACAAAAGTGGTCTGGAAAATAATAATAATAATAATAATAATAATCATCTTCATCATCATCAAACAAGTCTGTAAAAGAAAGCTCCGGCAAACCACACAACCATTCAGAGACCAAGCCACGCAACGTTGAAAATAGTAGCATCAATATATTTTCTTCATAGCATGTACCTTCCCCAAAACCCTTCCACGCATAAGATAAAAACAAAGGGTATGTGCTAAAAACAAGAAGTCAAGCTTCAAAAAGGGTCACAAATTTTTTTTTCCCCGTCGTCTTTATATTCGACTAAATTAACGATTTGTAACCTGAATTGCAAGGCTTATATGACTTCAGTCTTCAAAATTTAGCGAGAGTACAAGTTGTATCCGAAACTAATTGCACATTAATCCTCCCGGTCCCATTCGACAAAAATATTACCGTTACGAACTTTTTTTTTCACTTTTGAAGACTAAAATTAAATTATCCTAAACAAGTTACGGCGTAGTTATTAGTTTGGTCTTAAATTCTTAATTTTCAAGCATGAACCAACCCCAAGTGCAGCAGTTCCAAAAACAGAGGTGAACAAAAGCAAAAGCCTAAACATAGAGTGAGAATTACCAGAGGGGAGGAAGATAACGAAGTGGTATTGGGATCGAAGGAGAAAATCTCGAGCAAAGAAGGGCAAGAATTTCCGCGCCTCGACCTTCCCAACAGAACCAGATTACGCTTTTCGGGTCGCCGAATCCACTCCCCGCAAGTAACCGGACCCTGCTGCGACCCGCCACCATCGTTCTCCATGGACGACGTATCGGGATTAAAGGAAGCTGGAGATCCAAGCTCTCGTTGAATGGGTTTTGGGGAAATCAGAGTCCGAGAGTATTGAAAATGACGGGTTGTACTTTGCAGGCAGAAAGAAATACTGGGGCGAAAAATCCCAGAAAACTGTGAAGTCAAACGTAACTTTTTGGCTACAATAGTCATTTAACTTTATTTAAAATTTTAATTTAATTCTTTAATTTTATAAAATATTTTTTTAACTTTTCAACTCTGTTACTCTTAGTTTCATTTGCCAAAAATTATTACATTTAAATTTTAAATATTAAAAGAAATATTGTTAATTTTTAAATATTAAGTTGTTAATTTTATTTTAAAAATAATAATAATGATTAACATAATAAATAATCATTTATGATCGATAATGTTAAAATTTAAAAACTAACAAATTATTTTATAAAATAAAGATTTCAAACTTAGATATTATATGAAATTTAAATATCAAAAATACAGTTTAACCTACCTTTCTTTTTCCCGCAAAATATGGTTCCAGCTAGTAATTATTTATTAGAATACAGAATATGCCAGCGTGTTGAACAAGTGCTATCTTTCAAATTTCAGAAAAATCGGCTAATAATGACAATAAATTTTGCACTTAGTTAAGAGCATGATAAGAAATTTTTTTTTATTTCATAGCCTAGCATACTTGAAAAAATAGATATTATCAATGTCCACTCAAACTAATCTTACTTTTATTGTGTGAGATTATTATCATAATAGTAGCTTGATATATTTATTTAATGAGGTTGTATATTTTAAAATTCAAATTTGACATTTAAAATGATAGTAATTTCTTACAAACAAAAAAATTTAAGTGAATTATGTCTTGTATTTTTAATACTATATATATATTTTAATTAAAAAATATTTAAAAAATTACCTACTAACAAAAGCTATTAATAATGAGATTTGAATTTATGTTTAGAATTATAACCGTCTCCTTATCAATTAAACCAATATAATTTTAGACAGGATTTAGATACTTAATTTTATATACTTAATTTATTTTTATTTAATAATATTAAAATAAATGAATGTTAATGTGTTATTAATATTAATAATTATAAGAGTTTGTTATAAAATAAATAATATATAAATAAGTTACATGTCTTTATTTATTTAAAAAAATATATTAAATATATAAAGTTATGTATATAATTTTTCTGTAATTTTATAATAATTCCATTAGTATTTATTTTGGTCAACAGTCCCATGACTATCAGTGGACAGCTATTATTTCATTAATTACTAATTAATCATGGGATTGCATCGCAGAAACAATACGACAACTTTAGAATATTCGCTCCAGATTCCACGGGCGGCGCATGCAGGCTTTAATTTGCCGCGAATGTCCAGAAATTAATCAAATTATCATTTAAAAAAAAGAAATGAAAAATTAGTTTATCAATGGTATTAATTGTTGCAAAATGTTGCTTCCTAGCTTAGTCATTAACCCATTTGTTCAATTCGAAAATGACACAAAAAGAGTTTCCAAATGTTAAATAAAAAAAACAGAGTTTCCAAATGCATATTTAAGAATATAGTAACCAAGTTGCAAGCATCAATATATCGATATATTTATAATAATAAAAAGACAAGTCGCAACTTTTGTATATTGAGATTTTCAATTCTTAATATTTTATGTTCCTCCAAGCGGTCAAGGAAAACCAGGTTTAAAGAATGTGAAAACGTACCTATATGTTGGAAGAAGCAGCGACTTATGAGGTCTCTAGTCCGAGATGCGGATGGAAATTAGATTAAAATCTCATTTAATTATTAAAAATGAATAAAATGGAATGAATTAAAAAAAATAAAAATGAGATGATAAAAAAAATGATAAACCACATTCATAAAAAAGATGAATAATTTAATTTATAAGATTAAGAATCATGATTCATAAAATTTTTTAAAAATATAATAATTCACACATTTATATTATATATTAGTGATTTAGGAAGGAAAACATATTAAAGTCGGAAACGAAAACCAAGTTTGGTGAGTGGCCATTTAAATTCTTTTTTATAAAATTTGGGTTTAAAAAATTGCATTTTTTAAAAAAATTGGATTTTGAAACCCGAGTCTAATAAGCTCTAAAAACGAGCAACAGTTAGGACAGTCCTTTTAGGCCCATTTTATTTTGGTGAACATTATAACGTATATTTTTTAAAAAATATGAAATATTATAATTAAAAATTTTAATTTTAAAAAATTAAAAAAATAAAAGCTAGCTTATGGGCTCAGTTTTGGGCTCTTTGAATAAAAGTTAGGTTTCAAAAAATGATGAATTATGGGATAATTGGGCTTATGGCTTGAGTTCTTGAGGATTGAGCCTATACAAGCCAAATTCGCCTATTTTTCACCTTTAAAGTACAAGTTCTAAACTCAGTTTGGCAAAGATTGAGTTTTGTACTTTATGTTTAAAAAAATTTGAAACTTGATCTAATTCAAATCGAGTTTTAAATTTATAGTATTTAAAAAAATAGTTTTTAAAGTGTAGTATATTGATAAATATTTTTTCTACAGTACGGTGGTCAAATTGTTGTTTTCTTTTCTTCATCTGTAATGCAAAGTTAAAAAAAAAAAAAAAGGCTCAAGCTTCATTGGAAAAAAAAGTATACAGGGAAAATCATATCCAAGGACAAACAATAATCAATATGCAATGAATTATTGTTAAAATAGAAATATAGATTTGTTTTTTTAAATGAGACTTTATTTTTTTAAACAAATTAAAAAGTGTAAGTAAATTGAATTTCAAAAGTTTTTATATTCAAAGAGTACTTACAAAACTACTTATAGAGAGATGACTCACCAATCCTCATATCTAGCTACAGCATATGATTTACATTTAGATTTAGATATCTGCTTGCACATTATTTTCATTTGATGAATGTTGTGTGTAATTCCAGCACGTGCTCCAAACCGTGCAATGTCTTTACCTTCCTTACAATACATATATGTAGATAGATTATCAAAAGAACACTATATACTTTCTAGACACACACACACACACACACAAACCTAAATAGCTATTTAATGTGGAAATTAAAGCTCGTGAGATCAGCAATCCCATGTTGTGTGACTACTCTAGAAAGACATGGCTGGAGTCGCTTAGTGTTCATGCCTGGATCAAAAAGAACGTAACCCATCAATCAATCATCATCTCTTTTATTAATTCATCACTCGATTCTCAATCGACACTAGATGATTATTATTAATGAAACAGAATTACATGGAATAATAATGATGATTTTTTAAGTTTAATAATACTTATTACAAGATATAATGATTGTTCAATAATACATGGGAGCTGCAAAATTATCATATTAAAGATACACCCTTGGTTTGTAATAAACAGTGACCTCTTCTTCACCGAAGGACACAAGGACCTGTAGTCACACACAGATACAAACACATCATATAGTAACGAAACATGTCTCAAGCAAGAGTAAAGGAACATACATGCATGAACATATATATAACATAGATACATGCATATTATATTAATAAATGGCGATGTCCAGGTCAGGAGAAGCTTTGGGAATAGCAAGCAAGAACTGAACCATCGCATGGTAAGTTTGGATTCTGGTGGCATCGTCTTGAGTAAGAAGATAAATGTTCTTCTTCTTCAGAACTCTGCCACGCTTAACCAGACAGTGAAGCATACCCTATTCATTCAGGCACCCACTGAACCCCTTCATCTTCACAACCTCCAGACTTGTTTTCAAGCACCTGTGATGTTTCGTTTCCTCTAACCAGAACCTTCTTCCGTCAAAACCAGACAACGGACCCCCATAACCCTATATATATGATCCATCCATCATACATACATATATACATACACATAAATGCATGTTAGTTAATAAGGAAAAGGGATAATGAATTTTTTTGTCTCTCAAATTTATCTCAATTATTGATAAGTCCTTAAAATTTCAAAATTGTACACAATTAGTCCTTTTAGTTTGAAGGATAAAATAACATCACAAGGACTAATATTGTATGGTTAAGAAATTTAGGGACCAAAAGTTTCATCATCTTTAGAGAAAATACAATATACTAGGTCCTTGTACTTTGATTGCATGTCATTTTTAGTTTTTATAGTTTTATTTCATTATTTTAAGACCTTCTAATTTGATAGAGTTAATTTTGTTGACGTGTACTTTAACTTTGTCAACCCATATTTGTTAACCTATATCACGTTCTATTTAAGCCAAATATAAAAGAAAGCTCCCACCTACCTTTTATTTTTTTTTATAATATTTTGTCAATATATTCCCAAATTAACATATTTTTACCATGTTAACAAAGGGTTAGTGGAGTCATAACAAAATTAGTTCTGTCAATACTAACTCACCATCTTTATATGCATTATTAAAACAATATAAGACTAACTTTGTAAATGGATCAAATTAATTAAAAAGGCTACGAACAATGAAATAAAACTATATAAACTAAAGACAAATTAAAATGAAATCAAATTATATGGGGATACTTGCTGTTGTGTACTTCCCCTAATTAATAATTAGTCTCATGTGTGTGTAGAGAGAGAGAGAGAGAGATACTAACTTCAAACATGCGTGCAGGGCCTAAGTGAAGAGTAAGAATGTGGAGGGAAGGGCAACTCTTAAGAAGGAAAGAGATTCCCCAAAACTCATTGGTGTACAATGCAGTATTCAATATCAAATGTCTTATGTTCAAGTCCATGTCCAGATGAAATGGTTCAAATCCCAGAGCAATTGCCTTTCCATTCATTCAACAAAAACACTTCGTCATTTCGTCAAATATATATACACACAAAAAGCTAGAGAGAGAGATTCTCTAATTCTTACTGTAATTGTAATTTGCTACAAATTAAACATTGCATCTTTTGCTACAAATTAAACATTATACCAGTGACAAAACCAGGACTCCTAAGTGAAAGATTGCAAAATCTTAAAACTTAAAGATAGAGGGACAACATAATGAAACTTAAAGATGAATAATTTAAAATTTTAAAGATAATACAAATACTTAAACATATATATTAAATAATTTATAATTTCTTAGAGTAAGATGCACCCACCCACAC